TGCTTCAAACGAAGACGGAAGGGAAGCATTCAACGGAGAAAATCATATTCTATCCACTCAACGGCTCCTCAACTAGAGGAGCAAAATGCAAACGGAATGTTAACAAGGCCATTCTATCTTACTACGGAGAACTGTTGCAGACACTTTGTAATTTCATTGTTATAAACGTCCGTAACAGTGGGTTCTTTCACTGATCAAGAGAACGAAGGTCTCAATTAGATTGGCCACTAACGGCCCAATTGTGATCATCGATTTTACAACGGAAGCCTCCTTTTAAGGAGTTAATCTTAGCTTAAAGTATAAATATTCTAACCTTTTCAATGTCTCCAACTAACATTTGGGATAGTGGCAGATTCTCCACCACGTAAGTTAGAAGATCTTCCACTCCATAAAGTTCATAGTGCCCCAGCCGGTAGGCGTGATGACGAGGATAAAAAAACTCAGAGACGGGTCGTTCCACTACCGTCTGTTCCGTTTGCGTTGCACTTGCCTGCCTTGTGGCACTGAGAAGAACCAGATTTGTGAATTCGGTGGGTCGTGAGTTCAGACCCTCCAGCAGAATTCCACCGAAATTCTGGTCCACCAATGCAAAAACCAAAGATGCTTGGCATCCGCTAAGATCAGTCAGCAATTCTTTGACGCTGTAGCGCTCGTTTTTGCTTGTCTGAAAGTGTGAATTTAGTAAAAACATTGGCTTAGCAGCCAAGCTTTAATCACGTGAATGATCTTGACAAAATCAACTGAAATTTGAAGCAAAGTGAAACGAATATCAGTAATTCCTTGCAGGCTGATATTATTGACTCGTTCCTCAAGAACTAAACTTCCCAGAGCTTAAAATGTATTTCGTTAAAAATTATGTCCATGACCGCTATTGCTGCTGAAGTAGAGGAAGATCCAATGACCATAGAGACAGTATCAAGGCATGTTAGTAATATAATGCATGCTTAATACATGCATTGAAAATAGGTCTTCAATCAATAAATTAATGATGACAGCAACCTTATCGGAAAGGGGAGTAATGCTTGTCGTGACACATGTTTGATGTTAACTTTAAAAGCACCATTCCGCCTACTTAAATGCAAGTTAGTAGCAGAACACCTACAATATTATCGTTCC